TCGAAAAAGACATTTCGAAGTTTTGCTTTCATAGCTTCTCTCATTTTCTGCTTTTGCTTAATCGCACATTTAAAGTGTAATTTACTTTTATCATTTATCTCAATATGGATAATAAATCCATATGTTTGATATTGGTTTGAAAACATTCAAATTAAAGATGAATTGAACTATGAACTTATTCCTATTTCTATTCATTATGAACTATGAACTCACTCTCATTTCTATTCGACCCTGAACTTTTTGATTGAGCATTAATTCTGCAGTTAAGAAGAAGCTAAAAAGCGGAAGTTCTAAATACACTTAACATCTGATCAAATCAAAGCAAATCAAATCCGAAATGATCTAATATGAAATTAAATTATACTGATTACAGCAAAAGAAAAATTGAAGGAAATATATCAAATTTAAAACCATTTGATGGTTTTGTTGCACTATGAAACGAATTCCATTTTATTTGGTCGCTTAAAACATTAAAAAGTTGAAATTGTTTAGTGTTCATTGCATTGCATGTATATTTCATATCTCATAAATAAATGATTAAAAATTTTTGCTTGCATATTTTTTAAATTAAAAATATTTAATTAGCATCATTAGCAGATCGAATAGAAAGGTGTAAGAATTCATGAAGTAATGAATTTTTATAACAGATGTCTGATGTAGGAATTTTTTTTTTTAAATCATCTTTTCACTCATTTTAAACTCTCACGCAATCACTAACCAATTTAATTCAGCAATTTTAACATCTTTTTTGGATTTTATTTTCATTCGAAAGCAATAGCATGCTTTATCCATCACTATCGTTAAATAAAAATAATAATAATAATTGCAAAAAATTTTTCTAAACGTGCAAAAAAAAAAATTCATTGAAAACGATAAAATAAATGACTTCAAATATTCAGCATTTACCATAGTTTTATTATGATATCATTTAATGGTAATTCGTATACCATCAATAAAGCATTTTCGAAAGCAAAATGTTAAAAATTCGATGTACCACAGACTAGATGGTAATTATTCATTTAAAAAAATGAATCGAAATTTTAGAAATTTAAAACTTCTAAATATTTTAAAATTAATGTAAGACAATGATGAATATCTACTTCAAATAAATAGCGCTGTGATTTAGTCAACAGCATTTAAGCAAAAATTATATTGATTTAACTGGAAAAAAAAAGTAAATCAAAAGGCTAATATTTAATTTAAAAAAAAAAATTAAATGAACGGAAAATTTCAACCATTAGGCAGTCAAAATTTTATCATATTATTATAACAGGAATGATTATTTCGATCTATTCTCATCAATTGATATTAATTTATAATGCTAAATTTCGATTTGAAATTAAAGAAAATCTAAGTGTTATTTGATTTCTGACAATTATTTATAAACATATCAATTGATATATCAAATTGAGATAAGCTGAAAGGAATGAAATGAAAGTATTTTAGACGTTTCAGTCACATATTCAAAAATTGAAATGTAAAATTGAATCATGTAAAAGAGATGTATTTGCTTATTTAAATTGACTTTTGACATACTACAATTAAAAGATAGCAAACAAAATGACAATGCCTTACTCGTGCAAAATTTTCGCAATTTAAACCCTCCTACAAATTGCGCATAAAACGAGAAGCTGATTCCGTACAATAAAAAAGAAAAAAAGAAAAAACCTGATATGTAATGAATTAAATGCAGACAATTTTCACTATTTTTCTTCAAACTTTTGATTTTTAGTCCCGCTGAAAAGATATTCATTATATTTCTTTCATTTTTCATCTATGTGAAATATTCAGCAAATTTTCTTTTTTTTTTTTTTT